GGAATAATCATAAAAGACTCTTCACTAAGTTATTTGCTTAGAAAAGACTTCAGATACTCTGTATACAAAGTTAAAATATTTCAGGTGGTCCTTAAGATGATATAGTCCCATCAAGGCTGTCTCTTTCAGCTTGTGGTTTCCCAGAATCACAATCAGTGAGTGGCCCGAGGGAAAGACATTCAAAGCCAATGTGACAAACTTCATGTAGTTTTTGTTCCACCAAAACATAAAAATTATCCATTGTCCTGACTGTATGAATGCAAAGTGAACCATGAAGAGGAAGAAGAAAGACATGACCATTTTCATTGCCCACTTATGAGCCTCTGTGCGGGAGTCTCCATGGCCCGTGGAGTGGAGCTTCAGATTTCTAGTGTGTCTCACCAAGGACAGAAACAGAAGGAGCAAGGAGGCCAGAGACAGAACAACGGGGATACAATAAGGCATGTTGAGGAAGGTTAGGTCTTTCTTATAGAGAGTTTTAGTTTCATCTAAATAGAAAGTCAGATTACTTTCATCTGTTCTATAGATATTTATCCAGAGATCAAAATATCTTTCCAGTGTTAGTAAATCAAAAATAAGCAAGAAAAAAGAAAGTACAAGAAGAACTAGAATCACTTGGTTCATTCTCCATTTCAGCCAGAAGAAAAGTGGGTGGGAGAAATGGGCAATCTTAAGGAAATAGAATACACTTAGGCAGGTGGCAAACCAGGTAGTCAAGTGATTACTTAGTTTCCAAAGAGTAGTAATAGGTTTTACTAACTTGGAAGTGACATATAAATGTGGGGCTATTCCAACTATGCATGCGTCACACAGTAACACCAACAGCTGAAAGATTCTCGAGATAACCAGGCAGGTGAGGATGAAGTCAGCCAAGGATACCTTTTGGTACTTGACCCACTGGGAGCAGTTTACCACTCCAATGAACACATTCCCCAGCATTCCGATGATGAATTCTGCTATTGCCAGAACCAGAAAGAGTTTATCCAGTCCAGTGAGCATTTCCAGAGGATAAATATCCAAATGTCTATACTTCGACTCAGTGATCAATTTATAATCAAACAGTCAAAGAATAGTGTCCATTTCTGATGTTCATCTTCATTGCTATTATTGCAATTCCAGTCCTGATCAGAACCTCTGGCTGTTGGATAGAGTTCATTTGAGAAATTTTTTTTCTACTTTCATTAAATCCCAATCTTAAGCAAGAATAAGTTGCTGAGAATACAGTTTCTTATATCTTCACACAAAATTTTATGTGTTGAAAGTGCTACTAAATTCTAAGCAAAACAGTTTCTGTGTGCATTTATTATTGGCACAAACCTGTTTTCCACTTATGGTTATGATTAAAAGGTTTAAATCAATCATGTTAGCATGCAAATATGGGCCAGGTTCTTTTTCACAGATTTGTGCTTTCCTCCTCACTTGTAATAATACACCACTTAGATTCAAATCTCTCTGTTGTCTTTTATAGAACGCTATGAGAGATTTTTCTACAGAGCACAAGCACTCACCAGCTAGAAAAAGGGACAGAGAAACAGAAAGCAGGAAATTACCCCCCAGGGGGGATGGCCACGCTACAATCCCTCCTCCTAAATTCTACTCTTGGGATTTTGCAAACACATGCAAACACTCCAGGTATGATTTTATGCTTCTGCATCCAGGACTCAAACCCAGTCAACTATGTGGAAGTCCAACAATATAACCAGTATGCCATCTGCTGGTCCCCTAGAAATAATCTTAATAATGTAGCTAGTATTCAACTACTATATCCTATGCTATGTGCCTGAACTCTTACAAATGCAATACATGTTACTCCCAAAAAGAAACAAGAAATTTTAAAAATAGGAAAAATAGAAATTATATAAAACTGACAATAAAATGCAAAGCAAACAGACAAAAGGCAATTACGTTACATTGGCAGGGAGAAGAGGATCCGATCAGTGATGTTTAACTTGGATCTTGGAGGTGTTTAGTATTTAATGATAAAAGTAACAAGTCATATTTTGGATGAATGGAACAAATATTTTTTAAAACCATCAAAACCCAAACTACATTTCAAAATGTAAAGTTCTGAAACTGATCATTTACTGTAATGTCCATACAAGTGTTACTCAGGTACCTCAGAGTAACATTTTGACAATTAAACATTCTCAGTTTTGGTCTTTCTCTTTATATGTGTTCCATTTGTTTTCGCTAGAGATGTAATGCTGTTGATTTAGTCTTTACTAGTCAGGTAGAAAATTATTATAAAGGAAATAGATAAAGAGCAAACAAAAGTGTCTAGTCTAGTCTACAGGTATAGTGATTTTGGCAAAAGACAGTGCACCAGAAATGAACTCATATTTAGAGACTTTTGTGGTTTGGTTTCATGTGAGCAAATGAATATTCTATTAATAATAATTAAATGATGAGTGTTCAAGTGTTACCAGACAACATCCAAATAATTGAATTAAATATGGTTAAAAAAAAACTTCACTGTCAATATTACCATTATACTCCTGAATTAAATTCCACTAAGTAATTTTAATAGATATTTAAGAATGGTATTATATAATGATCTATTACAAACATAATATACAGACTGTTTCTTTTTTCTTTTCCAGTGGGTACACTTGCTTGCCAGAGAGAGACAGAGAAAGGGAGAGAAAGAAATCATCCCCAAGGGAACCTGACAATGCAGCCATTCCCTCCCTTCCATTCCTCCATCCTGGTGGGATTTGAGGCACATGTGTTCAAGTTGCCTGGAATGAGATTTGAATCAAATGACCAGCTGTGTGTGACTGGCTCCCTCAACCACTCTCCTATAGGACCAGTCTAGTAAATCGCATTTATGAACAAAAATATGTTTATTTAGGACAGGCGTATAAAATAACAAACCAAAAGAATGGCGGGAAGAGAGAGGAAACAAAAAAAGAGGAAAGGGTAAAATAAAATGAGAAAAATGGGTAGTTTTCAAAAAGAGAATGATAGCTGTGGCCAGATTCATGCCTAAAAAAGAAGAGAGATTCATGGCTTTGAGAAGTTTTAGCCAAAAGAATGCATAAGGCTGGGTGAAGTGAGTGAGATAAACAAAAAGGAGGAGGAGTAGCAATGACCTTGAGGTTTTCCCCTTTGTGCCTGGAGGCATGGAGTCCTCTGACCTGAAGGAATTAGTAGAGGAAAGCAGCTTTAGAAGCCACAGGGAGGAGGAAGAGGAAAAATTGAACAGATGTTGAGTTCAGGTTTAAGTATCCGGGAGTAGGTGTAAGTCATTCAAGTAGAAAGGAGTTAGGCACTTGGGTGTTTGTGACAGCAGCTTAAAAAGGAAATTGGACTACAAGTGGAGATTTGGCCATCATCAGCACATACTTGATTTCTTATAAGGTGATGAGCTCCCAGGGCCTTGAGGCACAGAGATCAGAGAAACCAAAGGAGAAAGTACAAAGTAGTCATCAGATGAAAGAGGGAAACTGAGAGGCCATGGTTTCAAAGCAAGCGAAGGCAAGGAGTGTTAGGTTTGCTAGAACTGTAATCAATATGTCATTAAATTAAGGGTAGATACTTACAAACGGAATAGAAGGCAAACTGCCATGGCCCATCACCATGGCTTAGTGCTTAAGGGAGCCAAATCCCGTATGGCCATCTGGATTTGAATCCAGGTCCTGGCAGCTTGAGAAACAAGGTGACTGTGTGTTGCCCAAAGTTACACAGGTTAGAGAAATTGCAGAGAAGGGATTGTAGCAATGACCATTGAGGGATGCCTTCTCCTTCTCACTCTCTGTCTCTCTGATTCTCTGTGGAGTGCACATTTCCTCTGACAATATTTTAAAGTAAAAAGGGTATATTTCTGTATGTTTTTAGTTCTGTTAAATAGCATGGTAGAAACATCATTTTTTTTCCTTTTTTTCTTTTTTTTTTTTTTGCCTTTCTAAAATCAAATATTGCAGGCCTTGGAATTTAGCAAAATTACTAAGTACCTAGAAACATCCTAAATGCCTATGACTTGGGATTTCAAATTAAGATAAGCATTACAGGGACCAGCAGATGGTATAATGAGTGTGTCTCTGGACTACCATATAGTAGATCATGGTTTGAGTCCCAGACCCAGCAGCTTAAAACTCACACTAGATGTGTGTGTGCATTTGCCCAAAATCCCAAGAGAAGAATGGAGGAGAAGGGATTTTGTGGCATGGCCACCTCCCCTAGGGGGTGATATTTTACTTTCTGTCTTCCTGATTACATCATTGAACTCCCACATAGTTAATCACAGTTCAAGTCCTGGACCCAGCAGCTTAAAAATCACATTGGGCGTGTGTGTGCTTGCCCAAAATCCCATGAGGAGAATGAAGGAGAAGGAACTGTAGCATGGCCATCCCCCCTGGGGAGGTGATTTCTCACTTTCTGTCTCTCTTTCATTCTCTGTCTCCCCAGCAAGCACACGACCCTACAGCAAAACATTTCTCTTAAAAAAAAAAAAAAAAAAGATTAGCATCACAAAATCCTATATTCCCAGTTTCTACAGAAAAATAATATATTTTGTGCTATAAATACTATTCATATTCTCACATAAGTATGTTATTCCCCTATTATCAAGAAGATCTCTCGTAATAAACATATACCTCTTTTTCATTTTTTAAAAACCCAAACTTCAAGCTGTGAGGTTGCTTTTCTTGCTATGACTTTAATTTTTAAAATAAATTTTCTAGATACTTTATATATAGTCTACCTACTCAAATTTATATTGTTT